CCACTTTTACAAACAAGCTACCCTGATGGAAATTCATTCTGAGTTGATGAATTCTATGATAGAACCTTTTAAATCATGTTTACTTACTAGCACCTCCTTTGATCTGTTTACTTTTCGACCTCTTTTTTGACATCCTGTGAACATGAACGTCAGGACACTGGGGCAAGCCAAGACCTAATTTTTATCATGGGCCTATAAGTAATTTTGATGAACCCTGTAGTTGAAAGATGGGTAACGCCTCAACTAGAAATGTAGTCTGAGAATTTTAAAGAGCCTTAATGATCTCTGGTCCAGTCACACATTTGAAGCTTAAATTTGCTCCAGTATATCCCCACTAAGTGAGAGTCCACCCTTCACTGTCCTCCAGAAAGGTCTATTTAAAAGTTGTTTATCTTAAACCTGCAGCTTCCACCCTGGGTCCGGATGCTATTAGCATAAAAAGCAGTTCTGTCCAAACTTGGTGAGGGCAGGGACTATGTCCACTACAGCCACTAGTAACCTAATAAATGCTGGGTGCAGTTAAAAGCAGGTGCTCTTTATTTGAGGATGTCATCTTACAGAATGGCAAATGATAGGTGTCTTTAAGTTCCATTGAGGAAGCATGAGATAAGGAACATATTATTGTTTAAATGATACAGCCTAAGAATTACATTCTGTTATTCTTGCAGTCTTATCGTCCAAGCAGTTTTGCCTGTTTATCATACATATCACTGTGCATCTACTGTAAAATAACATATTTCATGACTCTACAGAGGTTAGCTGTGAGGCATCAGTGTCCGAGACACAAGGCAGAGAAGGTAAAATGCTGATGTAGTAGGCATTAGAAGTCCTGGGTTCTGTCCCCAGCCCCCTACCCCACCATCTAGGGGACCCTGGATAGGTCACTCAGACTCTCCAGTTCTTGATTCCTCTGCCACAAACCACAAGGATTGAATCAAATGCTGTCTTCAAGTTCTTTCCACCTTCACAAATATTTTGCGTTTTTGGCTTGTCTGTCCCACGCGGTGGAGACTCACAGAGGCAATCAAATAGCAGGCCTCTGACTCCCGGCTCCGTTCTGGGTTTCTGCCCCGCCTCTCCACTTACGCACACTATCTAAGGCTGCACTGCTTCCCCTTCTCTTTTCAGAACACTTTTCTTCAGGAAACAGTGCGTAGAGAGTGTGAAGAACGCTTCGAGCTGACAGAGGCGTTGAGTCAAGCCAGGGAGCAGCTCCTGAGGCTCAGGAGGCTCAGCGGAGGGCCACTGTCACCGTGTCCCCTTAGCAAGGGCAGCCTGACCTCCCCTGCAGCTGCAGTGGGTCATCACAGAGAGAGAAGCCTGGCAAGACTGAACTCTGAGCAAGGAATCAAAGTCCCCACCCTGCACCGAGTGTCAAGACCCACCACTTCCTCAACCTCAGATACGCCCAAGAGGGTGGGCAGCTTGGGCTTACCTGTGGTCCTCCAGCCACGTCCTCCCACGGGTGGAGCCTCTGCAGTAAATGAGACCAGACAGGGACTGGCCTCCGTTCTTCGGAGGAGGCTTAGTCAGCACTGACGGTCCAAAGTCAAGAGTCTTTCCCAAAGTGCCAGAAATTCTCGGTAGCTGAGGATGACAACAATCAAATCATTTTCGCCGATTAAGAATGCATGTCTATAGATATATTTGTAAATGGTAACAAGCTGAAAAATGGTGACCCAACAATTATAACAGATAATCGGGTGACTGGTATCCCAGCAGGTCGGTTTGTATATGTAGTGTGTGTGTTAGGCGTGCACTGTGAAGATGCCCTTGGCGAGATCACTGGTAAAATCTTTCACCCAGAGCATGTTTTCTAATTTTTTTTTTTTTTTTACCATTACAAAGCAGATGTGTCTCCACAAAAAAAATAGATTGCACTGGCTTTGTTGGTGTTTGTTCACTTGTTTGTTTAGCTAAATAAGTTAAGAGATGTCATACATATTCCAGATAAAAACAAAGTTCTTTAATCCTTAATTAGATGATTTCCGAAATGTTTAGTTCAAATAGTCACAGAATTCTTCCTGCTGGTCAAAAGCTTCTTTCCTTCACCTTGCAGGCTAGTTGGCTAATCTGATTTCTTTAGGCTCAGTCAGAGATATGATACATAACCTCCAGGAAAACAGTCTTCCCCTTCCCTGAGTGTCTGATTTCTGGACAGTAACTCCAATTCAAAGAACAGGTGGTGCCCGTAGCTCAGTCGGCAAGGGCGTCTGCCACATACACCTAGGATGGCAGGTTCAAACTCGGCCCAGGACTGCTAAGCAACAATGACAACTGCAACCAGAAAATAGCCAGGTGTTGTGGCCTGTAGTCCAAGCTACTTGGGAGGCTGAGGCAAGAGAATCGTTTAAGTCCAAGAGTTGGAGGTTGCTGTGAGCTGTGATGCCATGGCACTCTACCCAGGGTGAGAGCTTGAGACTCTGTCTCAAAAAAAAAAAAAAGAAAAGGTCAAATTATGAAGATTATATTAGTAAATGAAGAGCCTAGCCATATTGCTAGATATGCTTTAAGAATGCTCTAAGGGCTCGGCGCCTATAGCTCAACCGGCTAAGGCTCCAGCCACGTATACCTAAGGTGGCGGGTTCGAAT